TTGGCACAAGTGAACTTTAGCTTTGTTTACACAGTGATTATTATAATTATGGTTTCAGCATGTATCTGCCTGTTGCCATGGTGACTGAATCCTAACTGCTTATGAAAGGGCAGATGAGTAAAGCTATTAAAGAGTGCTGCTCTCCCATTGGTCAATTATTACATTAGGACCTAACACCACATCTACCTGCAGTTACATTTAGCTAAATACTTGGTTGGGTTTTTAATTACATTTCAATTATAATCACTCATACCAATATTTGCAGAGAAAATCTCTGAAAGGATGATTATCCAAAGGCATTACACTACTGTCCAAAAGTTTGGGACCGGTATGAAGAAACGAAATATGTTATGCTTATTGCTTACCAAAGTTGCATTTATTTTATCTACAGTAAAAAAAAAAGCTTTTTTAAAGCTACACTGTGTAACTCTTTTAGTTTATTCTCAGCTAAAAACACTTAGTTCTTTCAAAAATATGTGCTCATTAATGTACAGTATATTTACTTCGTTCAAGTAATAAAGTATTCTCGTGAGTGTATAATATGCCATTGAAAATACATACGGGCAAGGGGTTCTAATGTCGGTCGCCATGTTGCCCCTCCATCTTGAAAGTACATTAGCCAAAGAGGGACATACCCGTTAATTCAAGCTTCACCTTTCGCGTTTACGTTTGAGTTAACACTCATGGACGAGGTCGAACTGGAAGCCATGTTAATCTTGGACTACATTGGCCACCGTAGGAGTTAAAACAAAATCGGAATTGAGAGGAACTGAAACTAATATTCACTGGATGGTCATATACCTTTTCACCGCTAGATGGGGGTAAAAATCACACAGTGTAGCTTTAAAAAAATACAATTTGTAATGTCATTCACAAAGCTGAATTTTCAATTTACTTCAGTGTGATTACTTCAGTGTTACATAATCATTCTAATAATGTTGATCTTGTGCTTAAAAAAACATTTTTATTATATCAATGTTAAAAACAGTTGTTGTTATTTAAACTTGTCTGCCACAATGTACTGATTTCTATTTCAAATAAATGCTGTTCTTTTGAACTCTCAATTCATAAAAGAATCCTGAATAAACTGGATCAAAGTATTGATTACACAAAACACCGTATACAAAAAAGCTGTTGGAGTCGAGTCGATATGGTTTGTTGTATTTTCATATAATTGAATAAAACTACATTTCACAGCAAAACATTTTGCAATCATGTTGGTGTATCTGTTGTTTAAGACTTAGTAGTTCAGCTTTGATAAATGCATCTCTAAATGATAAATGCATTCTGTTTCACTCCGTTCTGTAGTTATAAAAACACGGCTTCTTATTTTGTGCTGCCTTTATTTTGGTAATATTATATGGCTTTGTGTGTTGTAATAGCAACTTGATTTTGTACGTCAGTAAATCAAGACCTAAACATTCACCTTCACCAAGTTATCTTTTAATTTTTTTTTATTAGTTGGACAGCCCTTTATAGTTCAATTTAGCTTGTATGACTGTTTCTTTGCAAAAATGAGTGTGCGGGCAGGCATTGTGCCAACCAGTGGATGTGCTTTCTTTTCATGGCAACCGCACACAGACACTCGACACACGATTATTCCTTACCATGTGCTCAGCAGATGGAGTTTAGCAATACCGAGTCTATAAAGAGCTTTGATGCAACAGTTACGAAGTACACAATCAACAGTGAAAATGTGAAAGAGAACATTTTCCTGACTGAGCATTTCTTGATTAAAGGAATCATCAGAGAAAAAGGAGGCTTGTTTCTATGATAAATCTCCTTCATTGCCCTCTCTCTGAATACCAGCCGTAAGGGGGTTGAAAAAGTGTCGGTGCGTGATGTCTTTTTGTTTTCTCTCCAGCACTGTCATTGCGTGCTGTGATGATAATGAAGGCGGTGGAGACTGGTGAGGTGGAGAGAGCTCTGTTATATAGTGCTATAGGACACCGGGGGTTGATCATATATTAATCAACTGACTGTTATGTTGTCCCACCTGTGTTATTAGTGGTGTTTGAAGATTGCCCATTCTATAGGGATAAGATTAGGGTTGGTTTAGAGTTAGTTGCATGTAATTATGCATAATTTATAGTTATTACATACTACCTAGATGTAACATGTAATAAGGATACTAAAAATAAAGTGTTAATAAAGTGTAGGTCTATGCATTTTTAAGGGTAGACAATAAAAGGGTAAAAAAAAAAAGTCCTATAGAAATGTTTTGACTTGGGCCAGCCAGTACGAAACCCCTCTTTTTTTGCCTGGACGAGCACCACTGAAATTTTTTTCACAATAAGTAAAAAGTGAATTTACATGTTAGTTCTTGGTTTACAGCTCTGTATATTACATAGAGGAATACAATTAATGAATTAATCAAGTGACCAATGTACATGCAGTTCATTATTCACTGTGAAGTTGTAATCTTTTCGTACATTGTATTCTGTTTTGTAATTTTACATTTGGCAAAACTTCTGGGATCTACCATTTAACAGTTATTCTTCAATCTGGAACCAGCAACATATTTCTAAGTCAATAATCATGAATATATATATAAATATTTTTGCATTTCTTTGCTTATCTGTTTAAAAAGGTTATACTTTTTTTGAAAAAAAAAGAATACGTGAAAGGTGTTAACCTCTCTCTCTCTCTCTCTCTCTCTCTGTGTGTGTAGGTGTTACGGACTCATGTGATGGTGCGTGTGGGTGGAGGTTGGGACACACTTGAGCATTACCTCGACAAGCACGATCCCTGTCGATGCGCTGCATTTGGTGAGATCAGATCACCACTTGCGTGTGTGTGTGTGTTAATGTTTTTGAAATACGTCTCATATGCTCACCAAGGCTACATTTATTTGATCAAACATAGTACAGTAAATAACAAACATTAAGCATTAAAACAGCAAAATTGTGAAACTAATTTCCATTTTAATATATTTTAAAATGTCATTTATTCCTGTGATGAGGCAGAGCTGTATTTTCAGAAGTCATTAGTCCAGTCTTTATTGCCACATGATCCTTCAGAAATCATTCTAATTTGATGATCTGGTGTTCAAGAAACATTTTGTATTATTATCAATGTTAAAACTAGTTGAGCTCCTTGATATGTTTGTGGAAACCTAGAATTTTTGTATT